CCCCAAAACCCCAAAACCCCAAAACCCCAAAACCCCAAACTTGCAAAGCCTATACAGATTCTATAATATTTAAATACAATAGTTCACACTAAGCATGGATTTTGTTCCCCTGAGTACCAAGACTTTTGTCAGAGACCCTCCTTCGATAGACTGAAATTATTCAAAAAGTCTAGACGAAGACTGTATTTTGAGCCAATCAGCATTGAAAGCAGAATCTCACAAATAACATTGGGTTTAAGGCATTGGTCAACTCTAGCAATGAAGGTATGTATAACTCAAGTTCTAAAACAACATTTTCACTACTAACATATCCCTAAAAAGTGAAGAATTCTATTTACACCACCCACCTTCTTAACTCTAAAGCCTCCATACATTAACTATTCACAAATAAATACCATCTACCACTCTCTCTCATCCCCACGACACAATTCTACCCTAATAACCCCTAAATATATCCACATAAGCCCCAACCTCCACTATCTCTCCTTCACTCATTCCTTCCCTGCTAAAACCCAACATCTATTCCCAGAACATGAACTATCCTTGCCCATCCTCTTCTAAAACCTTCAGTTAAAATCTGTTCCTAAGTTTCAAGCTGAGCTTAAGGATCAGCAGTCAGAGTCTAAGCTTTGGTAGGAACATTAAGATTTTTTAATAGGAAGATGGAGGGTGAGGAATTTTAGACATTTGGATGGTTCAGCGAGTTTGGTATTTTATTTCACTAAGATTTGTGGGGACAATGCGGTAAAAGTGAACTTTAGAAATGAAAGAAAATAATCCAGGTGAGAAGTCAGCAAGGAAATATTCACAAGAATCTAAGCTATTGCTTCCAAAGTTTTATGTCAGTAAGTCATTATTTGGTTTAGAGCTTGTTTGTCTGTAGATTTAAAAATTAAGCTTTGTAAATATTACTTGATAATAGAGTCTTCCTTCTCCTATTTCTTTATAATCCAGTGTTTTAGATTAATCCATCCTCTATAAATCTAAGTTATTACTCTGCAATATTCAGTATTTCCCAACTCACAAGTCCTATTTAAAGATATTTAATAACTTCTACTATTCTATAGATGAAAACAACCTGAAAATGGTAGGGAACAAAAAGATTTCTGAGACACATCAAAACTGAAGTAAGTAAAATTGTTAACAATATTATCTACCAAGGTTTAAAACTCTCTCTCTAAACCATCTGGTGACCCTAGATAGATTATGAATAATTCTAGCTTCCTCTAGTTCCTTCACCGATCCTCCCCGTGGAATGCAGGAATCATAAATCTCCTCGAGTAAACATTAAAGAGGAGAGTAAACTAGACAATGAGATCCCCAAGCTCCCTTCAACTGTAAAGAAGATGCCCAGAAGTATCTTCTTTCTAGAGGAATCACCTGAAAGAGAGAAAAGGTAAGGCATATCTGACTGAATTTAGCCATTCAAGCCCCATGTGAACTCCTCAATTCGAAAAGCGAAAAATTTATGGCGCCATGAATATCGAAGAACCTATGGAGATGTGTAAAATTGAGGAGCAAGTACTTCCTCCCAAACCAATGCCTAACTCCTGAATAAATTTTTATGAACGAAAAAATCTTCTTCAGAAGGAAAATTCGAAAGAGGATCATGAAGCTCAAGAAAATATAGAGTTTAAGTATGTTGTGGTGAAAAATCTCAAAGATTCGTCCAATTATTTCAGGTTTATTAACAACTGATCCCAGTATATGGCTAAGCTACAGAAAGATAAACACTGGGTAGATAAGAACAAGAATAAAAAGATCTTAGAAAGCGTACAAAAGAAGATAGACAGCAGAATCAATATTGACTTTTCAGATGCTCTTCACGTGATGAATGATGGAAAGAGATTCGTCTTTATTGAGATTGAAAATACTATCTGTAAGGTAACAGAAGAGCCTATTGAAGAATGCTCAATCAATCCTCTTGTTATTACATTGTCTAAAGGAGCAAAGGGCCACAAAAACAAAGCTAAAAGGAAATTTTTCGTATATATTCGGAAATTTGGGTTGGAATTTCTCGAATTCTTATGACTAAACCATGAGGTGATCTTGTACACCCACCTAGAAAAAGACATCACAGAAGGACTAATCAGTACATTTCATGAATGGAAAGAAGGGATCGATTTCGCATTTGTTATATGAGGCAAACCGTTTTATAAATAGCATAAGTAACAAAATCGGTCCGATTAAATCCCTCAACAAGATAATCCCATCTATGGAAAATCTCGATATGGATGAAGAAGAGTATACAGATTTTATCAAAAGCAGATTCCTTATCCTCGACTGTGAAGTCTTAAGCTACCTCCAGAACTTCGAAGATATACACGTTCCTATCCTCCCAATCAAAGTCCAGGACGACCTCTGGCTCTCCTCTCTCAACATGCCTAGAATAAAACCGTCCTCCTCATACAACAAGATAAAACGAAAGCACCTCCAACGGCGTCAGTCCAGCCTAAAAGACCTCCAAGCCTCCACTCCATACTTCACTTTTGAAGAAAGCCTAAAGAACCACTGCTTATTCTACCTAAAACAGCTCCTATCTCAAAGCCTGGGTCTCGCCCAGGACAACTCAGAGCTATTGAGAAGTGTAAGCATTAGTTGACTTGTCAACCATTAATCATTTTCCAAGTGTAATTGTTATAAGAGGGTCAGCTTAAAGGGGAGATTTTGGGGTTTTGGGGTTTTGGGGTTTTGGGGTTTTGGGG